CTGGGACACCAAGAATGTTGACTACAAAGAGAATACATATATTGCTTGTAGAACTGGGAGTACAGGGGCAATTCTGGATGAAGGAGTAGGCACTGCTGGATCAAGGACCTCAAATAATGCCAACAGGACTTGGGTTCTCACCTGTTTCCGATGGCTCATATCCAACGAGGCCACCCCAGGTGTTTGGACACAAACACCAGCAGCCAGTGCCCTTAACAGCAGAGTTTCATTCAAGTCAATACATTGAAACCTAGTATATTGGCTTCGAGGAGCTAATAAGCACATGTTTCAATGCCCTATATCCCTGAAGGAGCCATTTTCATAGGACTCTTGTGCTTCAGACCACCCAGTGGCTTCTCAGTTCACCGAGTTAAAAATTCAAAATACTTATTGTAGTCTACAAGCCAACTGTGACCTGGCCCTTAGCTACTCCCCTTGGTCTCCGTGCCTTCTTTCACTTCCTCAAACTTGCACCAAGCCCTTTCCGGTCTTGTCCTGGGTTAGTCAGAACTCTTTCAGTTACAAGAGACAGAAACTGGCTTAAGCCTAAAAGACTGTGCCTCATGCAACGAAAAACATCCGGAGAAGGCTGGATTCAGGAGTGGACAGCTCTAGGCTCCATTGGTTGCCTTTAGTCTGCTGTGTCACCTTTATTATCAGTCTCCCCCAAAGGGATGTGAAGCCGTGTCTAAGCTTGCATCTTAATTAGCTACCCTGGTGGAAGGAGTCCCCTCACTTCCTCCCAGATGCAAAGGTCCTGTGCATCCTTGACTCAGCTAGAGTCACGCAGCCACCCCTGCATCGACTGCTGTGGGTAGAATTGGGTTGGATACACTGATTAGTCAATCCTGGTCCCATATTTCCCACCCTTCCCACCAGCACCAGAGGATGAATCCGCCCCAGCAAGTGTTGCAGCCAGGGAGTTCCCCAAATGGAAACCACGCCGCTGTTACCGGGAGAAGGAAAGTGGCTGCTGGCTAGAAAAACAAGCTGTTCACGCCCTACCTGGTCTGGCTCAGTGGATAGAGCGTCGGCCTGTGGACTGAACGGTCCTGGGTTCGATTCCGATCAAGGGCACATGCCCAAATTGTGGGCTTGATCCCCAGTATGGGGGCGTGCGGGAGGCGGCTGATCAATGGTTCTCCCTCATCACTGATGTTTCTATCTCTCCCTTCCTCTCTGAAATAGGAAAAAAACAAACCCCTATATTTAAAAACAACAACAACAAAACCCCAAGCTGTCCATGGTTGGCCCTTTATCTGGATTGTTCCCTTTGCCTGCAACACCCTCCCCCAACTTTTCACCAGGACAACAAGGTTATTCTTCACAGCTCTGGCAGGAGAGACAAAAGGCTGAAAATGACACAGCTGTCTAAAATAAGAGATTGGCAAGGATAGTGGTTTTCAAAATGTGGTTCTAAGATCAGCAGCAGCATCTGGGAATCTGTTAGAAAGGCAAGTTCTCGGGCCCCACCCTAGGTCTGCTGGGTGGGCCCAGCAGCTGTTTTAACGAGACCTCCAGGAGGCGCTGACTAGCAGTAAGTCTGAGGACCTGGATTAGAACATCATCATATTTAGTCATACATTAGAAAGCTAATGGGTATTTTTAAAAAATATATATTTTATTGATTTTTTACAGAGAGGAAGGGAGAGGGATAGAGAGTTAGAAATATCGATGAGAGAGAAACATCGACCAGCTGCCTCCTGCACACCTCCTACTGGGGATGTGCTCACAACCAAGGTACATGCCCTTGACCGGAATCAAACCTGGGACCTTTCAGTCCGCAGGCTCTATCCACTGGTTAGGGCTAATGGGTATTTTAATTGCAGAAACCATTTTTAAAAAATGTATTGATTTCTTGAGAGAGAGAGACAAAGAAATATCAATGATGAGAGAGAATCATTGATCGGCTGCCTCCTGCATGCCCCCTACTGGGGATCAAGCCCACAACCTAGGCATGTGCCCCTGGCCGGAATCGAACCTGGGACCCTTCAGTCCACTGGCCGACGCTCTTATTCACTGAGCCAAGTGCATTTCTAATACATCTGCACAGTGCTCAGGATCTACAGTCTTTTCAGACCCTGTTTGAGATCTGAAAAAGGAAGGGCAAATGTATGGACTGCAGAATACAAAAAGAAAAACAGCCCAGCTGGTGTGGCTCAGTGGTTGAGCATCAACCTAAGGACCAGGAGGTCAAGATTTGATTCCCAGTCAGGGCACATGTCTGGGTGGTGGGCTTAATCCCCAGTTCAGGGCAAGTGGGAGGCAGCCAATTGATGATTCTCTTTCATCATTGATGTTTCTAGCTCTCTCTTCCTCTCTGAAATTAATAAAAATGTATTTAATTAAAAACAAAAAGAAAAACAGAAGACAGATATTAATATGACTAGAAAATATAATTGTAGGCCCTGGCTGGATAGCTCCGTTGGTTGGGGTATCATCCTGATATGCCAAGGTTGTGGGTTTGATCCCTGATCAGGGCACATACAAGAATCAACCAATTCTTGTATAAATAAGTGGAACAACAAATTGACGTTTTCCTCTCTTTCTCAAATCAATAAAACAAACAAACGAACAAACAACAAAAAAACATAATTTTATAGCAGTGTTACTAATTGTGAGAGTCAGCCTTTATAAAAATGCCCCTACATATAAAAGTAATTTGTCGGTTAGATTATCTCACTTTATGTCTGGTAATTGCCAAGAAGCCATGGCTCATAGCTAAGACAACGAATAATAATCTAATAATTTAAATTACAAAAATAATGTCAAAAGTTTCCACAACAAAACACAATTATATTAATGCAGGATGTGGGTACATTTGAAAATTTCTGATAAGACATGAGATAGGACATTGCAAAGCATAGCGTCCTTAAGATAGCTGGGCTCCTGCTGTCACACACACAGGACCTGTGCTTTCAGGGTGATTGTAGGACATGCCCTCTAGAGTTTGGTAAAATTTATTATACTCAGCATCCACGCTCATAAGATGAAAAAACTTTGCCAAAATGAGCTTTAGGAGCATGTAGACCAAGTGATTAGTTTGGGGTTGTTTTTTTTTTTTTGGTTTAAAACATTAACCGTCCCAGGGAAGAGACTGTAAAATGTCCCCAATATAGTTCACACCATCCTCCATGTTACTTAGGCCTCTGTTATTTGACATTGCTTTCACTATGGCCAAAATGAATTTAAATTGACACATAGGTCTATTTAATTTAAAAAAATTCTTATCTGAGGATATGTTGTGTGTTTTTTAAAATTTATTTTAGAGAGAGAGGAAGGGGGAGAAAGACAGAGAGAGAGAGGAAACATTGGCTAGTTGCCTCCCATATGCACCCCCAATGGGAATGAAACCTACAATCTAGGTATGTGCCCTGACTGTGTATCAAACCCACAATCTTTTGGTGTACGGGACAATGCTCCAACCCACCAAACCATCGGCCAGCGCTAGTTCTATTTACTTTTTAAAACATATACATATAAAATATTTTTTTAACCTTAGTTAAAAAAAAAAACACAAACAAAAAACAAAAGAAGCTAGTGGTGGTTACACACTTGAATACAATTGCCCAAACTTATAGAAAGGTATCTTAAAATGGGTGAATTTTATTGTGTATAAATTACATTTCAAATAAAGCTAGGGAGAAAAAGAAAAGGGCAGGTACCTTGGTTTCAGGATCGATCCCCGATGGGTACGGGAGGCGGCCAATCAATGTGTCTCTCTCACACTGATGTTTCTCTCTCTCTGTCTCTCCTCCTACCTCCCACTCTCTCTAAAAATCAATGGGAAAAATATTCTTGGGTGATGATTTACAAAAAAATTTCTTATGGTGTTGATATTCTTTTGGGATGATTTCACTGTGATAAAACTACTTTAAGATGTCAATATTTACAGAATGCCAACATTACATCCTATTCAGCTATTTAACATTTTTGATTTTTAACAAATGTGCGAGTATTCCCATGGTGTTTGAAAATGCCTCGAGAATATAAGTGACCAAAGAACTCGAAGACAATTAGGAAGCAGGAAAGAGGAAGCCTGAAGGCCCAGTTTTCTGGCTTAGTGCATTGTGACGGGACTAGCCAATCAGAGGGCTGAAGGCCCGCAAGGGAGACAGTGTGTGATGAGAGGACACAAGGCAGGAGGGCCTTAGCCCATGCCTGATTCAGACTCTGAGTGGAGTGGGACTCAGCTGATGAGAGTACAGAGACATGGAGAGGCAGAGGACAGGCCCAGATAGCACTCCCAGGACATCCCTGCATGCTCCCTGCCATGGGTAGACTGTGGCCAGGCTCCAGGTGACCCTGTAGGAAGGCTGTGGAGATGGGCAGACTTAGCAGGGTCTGGGTGGAGGTTGTAGCAGAAACTTAGGGAGGTCCCCAGCCGTGGGCCAAGGTGGGGCACAGCCCACTGCATAGACTTGGGCAACAGAAGGAGAGAGCCCCGGCCGGGGACCCAGCCACACTCGGAGGAGACCCCTCAGTCCCCAGATAAAGACCAGCAGAGGCCCGGGGCTCCCTTGTCCCCAGGAAAGGACAGATATGGGATTAGGAAAACAAAAAGTCCCCACTGTTCCTGATGACACCACCGGCATTTGTTAAAGAGGCAGTTTGGCCTTGCCTCCCTGTGAATGTTCTTTTAACAGCAGGTTAATCATGTTTACCTTCTATGTAATGCACACTTACTATGAAAATCCAGAAACAAAATGTTTCTGATTCAAGATGCTCTTTTCTCCTGAGATCTCAGTGACTTTCCATCCAATTCCTACACCTTCCCTCCTTAGTCCTAAGGACATGCGGGCAGGAATCCCTTCCCCCCTCCTTCCCAGATCCCTTCCTGCACAGTCCCCGGCCCCTGCACTGTTCAGTGCCAGCTGCTCTTCCTCACAGTGTGAATTGTCCCCACACAGTAGGGGCAGTACAGGAAGGCAGTACTAGGGGAGAAATAGGCAGCTCTGAAACCTGAGGCATAAAGCCAAACCACCGGGCTCGATTGTCACCTGGAGAGAGGGGCTGCTCCTGGGGCTGCTCCTGGGGCTGCCAGTTGAGCTGGGTTTCCTAAGTGTGAGTTCAAGGAGGGTTAAGATGTCCTCTCGTGTGTGAGATGTAGGGAGGATGTAGCTCCTGACGAAGGAGGCCACTCAAGACAGAAGGCTTTGCTGGCCCACGTAACCAGTACTGTGCAGCGCTGTGTCACAATCGGTCTTCCTTCCTGTCACACAAGGGAATGCATGCCAGGAGACCAGAAGCAGGAAGAGAGAGGCACCCTAACCCTACCACACTCCAGAAATTAGCTTAAAATGCTCAACCAGAGGGGCCTAGGAGCTGAGGGGAGGAGGCGTGATTTCCAGGCAGCCCCTTCCAGCCCCCCTTCCCGTCCCTCCTCCCTCTCCGCTGCTCAGACCCACTCCTCTGCACAGAGAGTAGAAATGTGAACCCTCGATGCTTAGCACAGGGCACAGGGCAGGCCCCGGGCCCCACTGACTCCTCCAGCTCCCCTCTGACAGACCCGAGCGTTGAAATCAGTCACAGTGCTGGTAACCAACCCTGTGTTGCTATTTTTTCTTTTTCATAATTTGAAAAGTGGAAGTGGCTTGGGCTTCTCTCAACCAACCACAGCGTCTGGTTTTGGCTGGGAAGGTCTGGCCCACTTCCCACTCCACAGCTCACTCTGGCTCCTGTTGTCAGCCAGCCTCTCAGCGAGGTCAGAGGTGGGACCTTTAGGAAGATGGGGTCTGGGGGTGGCTTCCTCCAGAAGCCGACCACAGACAAAGATTCTGGTGCAACAGTTCATTTGGGAGGTGGTCCTGGGAGATCCCAATGGAAGAGGAGCAAATGAGGCAGTGAGGCAGGGAGGGGAAGAAAGCCATCACAGGTGTATTAATGAACAAGTGACCCCTGTGAGCAAGCGGGGTTTCTCTGGGGGCTTCTGGAGGATTCTGAGGCACATAAAACAACAGATTCGCCTCAGCGGAGGGGTGAGCACTGTCATTGTTGCTGAAGGCTGCTCCCGGGATAGTCCCCAGCCCCCTGGCCTGCCCTGAACGGGGTCCATATATGCCAGGGACAGTTTCCAGGTGGAGAATCACAGGGGTGTGCAGTAGAAACCCCCAAATCTTGGTGGTTCATTTCCATTGGGGGACGGGGGCTCTGGAAATTGCCGTCACTCATGGACCTGGAATCATGGAGCAGCCACCAACTTGAACACGGCTGGTGACCCAGCCAGAGTCCTGAACTGGCAATTAAAGCTCCAGCCGGGGTGGAACACCTCTTCCACTCACCACTCAGTGGCCAGAGTTCCTCACAGGGCCCCGCCTACCTGAGCCTGGATGGCAGTGAGCTGGCTGAGCGAAGTATTACAGCTTCCCACAGACTCAGCGATTGCAGGATAAAGCACAAGCCCATGAGCATTTTGTGCGTAAGGCTTTCTGAGACCATCTCCTCCCCAAATCCGTTCTTTGAAAAATCAGATGAACTGTCTCTCTTGGGCCCACATTCCTGCCTTTCACCTCTTGGTTCAGCTGAGAAGTGAGGGCCTCCTTCAGGAGTCATGCCCTCACCCCGGTCCCCACGTGGCCCATCTCATCCCTTTATGTTTATTGCTTAGTGTCTGTCTTCCCCTCCAAAGAGGAACGTCCCTAAGCTTTCCTGAAGCTACGCACCTCTCTCCGGCTGGCCTCCACGCCGACACCCACACTGTGCCTTGCCGCAGCAGCTTGCACACGCGCCGGAGCCTTTGTGCTTGTGGGGCCTCCGTCTCTTGAGAACACTCCCTCCAGAGCCCCTGTGAGTCCCGTGCTCTCTGACTTGGTGCAGATGTGCATCCTTGTGTTGAAGACAGTGGTGGAGCCACTAAGTGGGAATTCAGGAACATGCACTCCCGAACCTTCAGTTGGAGAAGACGCTCTGCTCAGGAATTTATGGGAGCAAGAGGCACGCTTCTACTGTGCCAACCCACCAAGATTTGGGGCTCATCTGTCAATGACCCTGGAGTTACCCTAACTAATAACTGAGCTTACTCACACTCAGGGGTGAAATGTTTGCAAGCCCATTTGTCCACACGTTGGAAGCCATGTTCTTCAATCAGCTTTATCGGGGTTAATGGCGACCATTTGTTCTCCACCTGACACCAGCCTTTGTCTTTCGATTTATTTTGACTTTGGGTGAGGGAAGGGGGAAGAGGTTGTTTATTAAGACCCTCTAAAATCCCAACAATTATTAAGGCCTGAATAATACCACTGGTGCTATTGATGAGGAGAAGGGAGGAACGGGTTGCAAACCTATCAAAGGACATTGATGTGATTGCACAGTTGTTTCCCAGAAGAAAAAAAAAAAGAGCAGATTGAACTATTTTTTAATGTCAAGAGCTAAGTAGCCTGGGGGAAAATGTAATATATTATAAGCAATAAGCAACAGCCCTAGACAGAATGTCAATCCCTTTCAACATAACAGCATGGAGAGGGTCCTGGCATAACATTCCCACGATATTGTGATTTATAAGAAATATATATTTGGTTATTCAGATGACCAAAATGTATTTCTCGTATGTATGTGGTCTTCATTGACAATTCCTGGCTCACAGCCCCGAGACTCTTGGAGTTTAAGTGTTGAAAGTGAAAAAGGTGTCTCTTGTTATGTTAATGAAGTGACTTGGTAACCACCTAAGGATGGGGGCTGGTTACCAATGAAGCCAACTACTAGTATGTGATTATAGGGCTGTCACTTTTAGCCGCACGCGCCCCCCCCCCCCCCCCCCGCCCCTCCACCCTACCACTTCAGGGGAGGGAGAGGGGCTGGATGTTGGTTCAATCACGAATGGCTAATGAGTTAGTCAGTCATGCCTATGAATTAAAGCTTCAATAAAAGCCCAAGAGGACAAGGCTTGGAGAGCTTCTGGGCTGAACACCTGGAGATGTGGAGAGTGTGCCGCCTGGAGCGGGCATGGAGTCTCCACAACTCGTCCCGCACACCTTGCCCTATGCATTCTCTTCCATCCGGCTGTTCCTGGGTTATATCCTTTTATAATACCTCAGCGATCGAGTAAGTAACATGTTTCTTTGAGTTCTATGAGCCATTCTAGCAAATTAGTCGAACCCAAGGAGGCGGTTATGGGAACCTCTAATTTATAGCTAGTTGGTCAGAAGTACCGGGGATACCCTAGCTCCCTGGTCGGCAAACCGCGGCTCGTGAGCCACATGCGGCTCTTTGGCCCCTTGAGTGTGGCTCTTCCACAAAATACCACGTGCGGACATGCACGTAGAGTGTGATTGAAACTTCGTGGCCATGCGCAGAAGTCGTATTTTGTGGAAGAGCCACAATGAAGGGGCCAAAGAGCCGCATGTGGCTCGAGAGCCGCGGTTTGCCGAGCCGCAGTTTGCCAACCACTGCCCTAGCTGGTTTGGTTCAGTGGATAGAGCATCAGCCTATGGACCAAAGGGTCCTGGGTTCAATTCCAGTAAAGGGCACGTACCTTGGCTCCAGGCGGGGCCCTGGTTGAGGTGGGCTCATGCAGGACACAACCAATTGATGTGTTTCTCTCACTTCCACTCTCCCTAAAAATCAATGGAAAAATATCCTCAGGTGAGGATTAACTAACTAAAGAAGTACCAGGGACAACCTGGACTTGCAATTGCTTTCTGAGTTTGAGGGAATCATTGGTCAGAAAAGCATAGGTAACCTGGGCTTGTGGCTGTGCTCTAAAGTGTGTGTGTGTGTGTGTGTGTGTGTGTGTGTGTGTGTGTGTGTGTGTGGTGTGTGTGTTGGGGTGGAGGGGGGCAATCTTGTGGGACTGAACCCTGAATCTATGGAATCTGATACTGTCTCCCAGAAGACGGTGTCAGAAAATTCTTGGACGCCATGCTGGTGTCTGAAAATTGTTTGTTGGTGGGGGACCACCTCCCAACCATCCCAGTGGAACTGGGTCCAGGAACCCAGTTTAATTTCTCACTTCCAAACTAGTACTTTCGCGGAGTTAACATTCCCCTGTCACCTTAAACAGAGTAATGGCTATGCATTTTTAGGGACTGGAGCTTCTGACTTGAAAGCCTTTCCCTAAACTTGTTTCAATCTGTCTTTGACTCAGAAATGCTCCAATTACATTTCCATAGCAGCTGTGTTAATTAATGAGGATGCTCAGACTTAACGAAAGAGGGAATTAGTAAGCCATTCCCTGGCCCTTCTACAAAAGGGAAGAGAGCTAACAGGCACTGATGGCTTGACATGGGGATCTCACCTCCTTGGGAGCTTTGAACCTGCAGTCCTGTCCTGAAATGTTACCCCAGAGGCTGCTCCAAGCACCGGGATGTTTGATCTTGCTCCTGTAGGGAGGGCCATATGTACTCAGATTTCTCAACCGAATTCCTAGAAAACAGAGCCTTTAAGCTGCGTGAAGCTTGGGCTCATGATTAGTAAAAACCAACCACGTTGCCCAGAGACGTCGTGGTTGCATTATCATGTAATATGTATTGTTGGCTTTTTATGTTACCAGTGTCCCGATGCACAGATTTGTGCACATTGAAAGGAAATGAATTAGAAGAAATATTTTAATATTGCTATTTGCATCTTGCTAATGAGAAGAAAATAGGATTCCACCGAGTCTCCTATCTACCTACTCCAGGACTTCTGTGAGGACCAAATGAGATGAGGCACAGGAAAACGTGTCACAAACATTTGGTTAAACTGTAAAATGTTTGCACCTGGCTATAAAGCAAGTCAGGTTCCTGGGCTGAAGAAACTCCAAAGAGGCTAGTTGCTAGGGAGAGGAAGCCAGGTGTTGCTACGTGACATCATTACCCAGCACCCACAGCGACCGTTTCCGGGCTGGGCTGGGCTGTGGGCCGCATTTTGCACCATGGGGTCTAGGCAGCATTGGCTGCGATTTGGTGGGGTGTCGCTCCGGGGTGGTGGCAGGGCCTGTGTCCCACTTGGGGGAAGCCGAGTGTTGGTTTGTCAGTGCCAGATCTGTGGTGCCCATCTATTTTTAAACGGCCAGTGCGCGTCATGGCAGCTCCTGCGTTGAGCATCTGGCCCCTGGTAGTCAGTGCATGTCATAGCTACCAGTTGGATGGACACAGCCTTTTATATAGAGAGATGGTACAGTCTATTATTTTAAACTAGAGGCCTGGTGCACA